CTCTCTCTCTCTCTCTCTCTCTCTCTCTCTCTCTCTCTCTCTCTCTCATTCTCTTTGCTGGCGTACTCTACACACCCACTCATCGCCCAGGTGATCAGGTCTCTTGGATTCTCCCACCCCCCCACTAGTATCTCAACTATCGTCCTCAGTTCTCACGGGATCTCAGCAGGTGCTGCCTTGATGGCTTTCCCATCCCAGGGACAGGCCTACTCACCAAAGATGGAGTTGCCCCGGGGGGTATATCCACCGAATGTGAAAACGTGGGAATGATCAGCAGTAACCACGGTCAATGTGTCTTTCTGGGAAGTCATGGCGCCCGCCTTTCCGATGGCTTGGTCCATCTCCACTGCTTCATGCAGCGCCTGCTTGGCCTTACCCTCATGGTGCCCATGGTCAATCCTGCCTCCTAGGGGACATCAAGACAAAGGCCTCCCATGAGGCGACAGGGGAAGAAGCCGTGCCCTTACAGGCCCCGGGACACTGTCATCAGATTGATGTCTCCTTGATAGGGGATGACAATGACCTTCACCAGGGACTTCCTTCGCCAGGCCTACCTCAGGCATCTTACAGTCAAGTGGCCTTCAGAGGGTGAGCAAGGAGAAAGTGGGGGGCAGGGCATGTGGGGAAAGCAAAGCCACAGAGAAGGGAGAACCACAGGACCCAAGCCTGGATCTCTCCCACATGCCTGTGCTCCTAGCTCAGCCCAGCTCAGCATCCTTAGCAGTTTTAAGGGGTGGCTGAAGCCTTCCGCAGAGGGAAAGGGAGGGAAGGGCGAGGGAGCATGCCTAAGTCCCTACTGTGTGCTTAGCATGACAAAGAGGCATTTGATTTTATGACAGCCCTGGGCAGTGGGGGTGTCTCAGACAGAGCAACTGAGGAAGTGTGGGGGAGTGATATTTCCACGGGAGTACCAGATAGGGGCTCAGGTCCAACCCCATTCCAAAGCCCACAGTTTGTTTCGTCCATAAACATATCCCTATAAGCAGAAAGGATAGAGACTTCACCCTGGCACAAGTCCCCAGATCCTGGGCAGTGTCAAAGTGGTCTTGCAGAAAGGCCAATGGAAGGCTGAATCCCATAACGCCAGACCCTTGGGGTAGGAACATGCAGGCCTTAGCTTCCCGCAAGACGCCACCTAGTGGTCACTCCCAGTTCTGAGGGTCGTGAGCTGGGGCACCAGGCGGTACTCCCTCTCCACTAGCTTCATTCACCCTCACTGCTGGCCTGGCCGGTGGGTTGGCAGGGCGGGCAGGCTGACCTTCCCTTTGTTGTGGTTATGGGAGCAGCTGGTCTGGCAGGCTGGCCTGGCCCTGTTCACAAAGAGGACCACTCCCAGGGGACCCGTGTTCACCACCACTGGTTCCTGGCGCTTCCTCAGATCAGAGGCCTGCTTGGGGCCAGGCCGAGACCGCTGTGCTGGTGGGAACCCCAGGGCTTGGCAAGAAGGCAGCCTAGCTGGGCAGGCGGCCACTGGCCTCTGGAAGGTGGAGGGGCCCAATTGGGTAAGTGTATATCGAGGACGTGTGTGTGTGTGTGTGTGTGTGTGTGTGTAGTCATGCCCATGTGTCTTCATGGGGTAAGAACATGCATATCTCAGCAGGGCCACCCAAGGGACCACAGAAGGCAAGGGCTGTAGAAATTCTGGAAACTCTGTTACTTCCTATTGTTGCTTTGGCTACTATGTAATTACAATGGTGGCAATGGAAACACTGAGGTATACGTTTACTCTCTGCTCCCCCAGGGCTTATGGAGCTGCTGGCTACTGTGTGCTGTGTGCCCACGCTCCACGTGGGTGTGTGCCTACGTGTTTTTTCTCAACCCCTTCCCCCCTTTATTTAGTTCTAAACTATTTTATTATTTATTTATTGTTTTGTTTTGTTTTGAGACAGGATTTCTCTGTTGTAGCCTTGGTTGTCCTGGAATTCACTATGTAGACTGGCTTCAAGTTCAGATATCTGCCTCCCGAATGCTGGGATTAAAGGCATGCACCACCACTGCCTGTCTTAGTTTTGTTCTCTCTGTTTCTTTGTCTCTGTTTGTCTCTCTGTGCCCGCGCGTGCGTACGTGTGTGTATGTGTGTGTGTGTGTATGTGTGTTTGTGTGTTTGTGTGTATGTGTGTGTGTATGTATGTGTATGTATGTGTGTATGTGTGTGTGTATATGTGTGTGTGTATGTGTGTGTGTGTTTGTGTGTATGTGTGTATGTGTGTGTATGTGTGTGTGTGTTTGTGTGCATGTGTGTATGTATGTGTGTGTGTATGTGTGTGTATGTGTGTGTGTGTGTGTATGTGTGTGTGTGTGTATGTGTGTGTGTGTGTATGTGTGTATGTGTGTGTGTGTGTGTGTGTGTGTACGGGGTGCCTGTAAAGGTCAGAAGAGGGTGTCTGATAACCTAGATTGAATTTTTGGCCAGAAATTTATGCCCAGTATTTTCACCACAATTTTTAACCACCCTTCTGTGCCCAGATAATTTGCATAACCTTTCTTCTAGACTCTTGTGCCTGTACAGTGCCTAAAGCCATAGTTGGAGGTGGCTATGAGGTGTCTGATGTGGGTACTGGCAACAGAACTTGGGTCTTCTGCAAGAGCTGGGTTTTAACCGCTGAGCCATCTCCCCTGCCCCTCCACCTTTGTTTTTGTTTTTGTTTTTTTGTTTTTGTTTTGTTTGAGACAGGGTCTCTCACTGAACCTGCTGGTTATGAAGTCAGCTAGGCTGGCTGGCTGGCCCCCAAGCCCCAGGGATCCAGCTGTGTCCACTCTGTCAGTGCCGGTTCACAAAGGTTCTGAGATCTGAACTCAGGTCCTCATGCTTGTTGTGTGGCAGGCACCAGGGAGATGACAGAGCCACCTCCTTCAACCCTTAGTCCTTACTTCATACTTCTGTGAATGATGGGGCCGAGTCACCGCTCTAGGATAAGGGGACAATTTTTGGCCTCATTTTACAAAAATGCTTAGTGATGGTCCCACAGCCATGGATGATAGTATGTGACAAGAACCCAATGTCAACCCCCTGGCCTCTGACAGGTTGGACGGCCCTCCACAGCCAGGGCTGAGAGAAAGACTTCTCAGAGGAACACAGCTTCTCCTCTGCCGGCTTCTCCTCTGTCAGGAAGCCCTCTCAAATTGGGCTGGTAGACAGGAAGACTTCCCTCCTCTGAATTCCCACTGTCTTTGTGGGGAGCATCCACCGAATGCACTCTTCACCCTGAAACTTGCAGTTCCCTTTGAAAGCTGTGCCACTCCATCGCCTAACCCACGTCCTGTTTCTGGAAGATTTGTCTCCACCACGCCTTACCTTCCACCAGCAAGAAGAAGCCTTTGGGATTCTTTGTCAGGATCCGGAGGGCCACCTCCACCATCTCGGAGAGCGAAGGGTCAGTCAGGTTGTTTCGATTCAACTCGTACTGCATGTCCCCGGGCTCAAAGAGACCTGTGGGCATGGCAAAGATATGGGTGCCAAGAGCCCCGAGCCTGCTGTGAGGACCCCAGGGAACCCAGGGTGTCACAGAGGATACAAAAGCCCCTACACTCAACTTGGAGGAAATATAGGAGTGGTCGTACCTGGGAGGCTTTGCGGATCCAGAAGTGGATTCATTGTTTTCATTCTCCTCATAGTCTACCCCACTAGGGGCACGGGGCCTATAGACCCACCCCCACCACCAGGGGTACGGGGTCTACAGCACACCTTTACCAGGGGCGTGGGGCCTACAGCCCATCCCACTAGGGGCAAGGGTCTACAACTCACCCTACTAGAGGCACGGGGTCTACAGCCACCTCAGCAAGGGCACGGGTGCCTAGAGCCCACCTCACCAGGGGTACAGGGTGGGGTGCTTACATTCCAACTTGCGGAGGAGAAGGAGGAGGGGGAGGAGGAGGAGGAGGAGGAGGAGGAGGAGGAGGAGGCTCCAAGGGGCCTAACAACTTGCTGTTTTCAGCAGGTGAAAGGGCAGACCTGCGACTCAAACCCAAGAGGCCGCAGCACCTCGTCTCTGAGGCAGTGGACTCTGGACTGGGCTCAGTGGGGACAATATAAACACGTGCATATTTACAGGTGAGGTCTGAGGGCTCAGTGGCATGCGCAGTGAAGCGGCATGCGCATGTCTCTCCTGTTCTCTGTCCACAGTTTACTCCCACGAAAGCCGTCCCTCACCTAGACATCAGGCAACAGCCAAACAGCAGCTCCAGGGAGCCCAGTGCACCCTCTGTGCCACGCCACCTCGTAGCAGCCGGAGCTGACCTCCAAGACGGTGTGAGCCACCAGGCTCCGGAGTGCCCACTCCCTCTGCTGGCCCCTACTCTCTAGGGAACAAGGATTAACCCAAGGACCAGCAGAAGCTTGCCTGGCTGGTTTTACCCTGGTGTGCTGTGTGTTCGTCTCCGAACTTGGGATTTTGTTGTTGTTGTTTGTTTGTTTGTTTGCTAACTGGGGCTCATCTTAACTCCACAAACCAAACCTTTTCCCCTTCCGCACCCTGGGAGGCCTTGTAATTGGGGACTGCTTCCTACAACTGCAGCCGTGGGCTCACCACCTTCTCTACTTACCTAAGAGGTAGTCCACCCTGGAGGGGTCAAGGGCCAGCAGTTCAGTGCGGTTCCAGACATAGTGCGAGTGCTGGGGGTGGGAGAGGCTGTGTCAGCACAGGCCTGGAAGGCCGGGAAAAGCTCCAGCTGGCCGCAGAGTCAGAGTGGCTCAGTTCCCCTGCATCATCCTGCCCTGAGCACCTACCATCTCTGGACTCAAGAAATGACAGCTGTACAGAGATTATTGGGTACAACCCAGGTATATGAGGATCCTGGGGACTGGATCAAGGAGAGCTTCCTGGTGGAGGTGACACCCTTTTGGAGGTCCAGAAGGCAAAGTAGGAACCAATCCATCTGGGATCAAGGTATTGCTTTCCCCATAAGGGTGTCACAGGGTAAGTCACAGAGAGCTTGAAGGCCTACAGAAGGGAATGAGTGCTGTTTGGGGGTCTCTGGTGTTTAGGGGCCTCTGGAGAGCCAAGAGGGAGTGAAGTTCACTGGCTATGCTTTGGGAATCCCATCTAGGAGGGGAGATAAGGAGGCCCTGCCTGGATTGTGTGTGCTCAGCACTGTGGGGAATTTGCTGTGTGTCTTCAAAGACAGCTCTTGCCTTCTCTGGGCAGTGGCCTTAGGGGTAGGTTTTTCAATCCTCTAGGTTGCTCTGAGGCAGAAGGAGGAGGAAGCGAAGAATCTGGCTTGGGTCCCCAGGGCCCTGCTGTGACAACCAACACTCATAGCAGTCTCTCAAGACTGTCCCCACTTCACAGATGAGGACACTGAGGCACGCGCATATCAGGGTTATTGAGAATCACTTCTAGCTCCTCTATCGATGTCCAGAATTTGGGACCCAACAGTGACCCTACTGGGTAGGGCTCATGGCAGTAGTGCAGGCCCCTCCCTGTGCCAAAAGCCTATAGAGTCCCATGGCAGAAGAATGGCTTGCTCTTCCTGATCATAGCAACTGAGGCCAGGAGCAGGGTACCTCTTTAGTTTGCCCATCCAAGCTGCCCCAGGAGGAGAAAGAGAAGAGAGTCTCTCACTCCCAGAACCCCTATACAGCCATGGGGCTGTCCCCAGCTCTGCCCACCTTCCCCTAGCTCAGCTTCTCATGCCACCAAGCCTCCCCGGGGACTGCCATGGAACCCTGAGAAATCCAACCCCAGAGTGACATCAAAGCGGCTGCCAGGCTGCTCCCCACTGTCTTCAGGCCTGACCACAGTCATTTCCAGACCCAGCTGCCCGGCTGGCCCACAAGCGGCAGATTTAAAGGGCCAGAGGCCTCTCAGACGAACCAGAGTCTGGCCTAACCCTGCTCCAGCCTCCCTCTCAGCCCACTGGTGCCCTGGCACAGGGGATTTACTCTGAGGGCTGACACCTCCAGGCTCAGCCAGCACACTTTTGCTGTGCCTGCCCACACCCTCCCGTTTGCTCAGGGTTTCTGTTGTGTTTCCTCTGCTTGCCTCCAGAGGCACTTCCTGCGGTCCAGGCACATGACATTCCCTGTGTTAGGTGCCCAGCCTGTCTGGGGTCCATCCAGGTGCCTCCCTGACCCTGTCACCATCCCCCTTGGTGCCCTTCCTACAAGGAGCAGGAGTGTCTGTCAGGCACGGGTCTGTAAAGTAGAGCAAACAAGAACATCTGGACTCTCACTGGCAAAGACCATTCCACACATGGATGGGGGTGTCCCGTGGTCCATGGTCCCACAGCTGAGGTCATCTGCAGCCCTTGGTTACCTTGTGTCTGGGCTTGAAGCTCTTCCAAATGCTGATGAGGTCCAGGCCATCCAGCCTTGTGCCCCTGGCCTTCTCATCCAGTTCATATTCCACGTCAGTTCTGTTCTTGGGGTACATGTACTTCCGGCCGCCACCCATGATCACCTGAGGGACAAAGGAGCCATCACACCCAGGGTTCTAAATTGTCCAGAAGCCCCAGGGGTCCCGGCTTGGAAAGCAGACAGCAGAGTCTGGGTGGAGGTATGGACAACTGCCTTGCCAGGTAAGGCCTGGGTCAGCATTCCCTCTCCGGACTATTTGTTCAGATTGGAGAGATAAAGTTGCTGACCTAGCAGGACCGTGGTTTGGGGCTTCTAAGTGGAATATTAGTGTTCTTGTATAGCTACCATCCCCCAGCCCCGTAAGAAAGCCCGTTTGCTGTGTGTTGGGCCCTGAGCCAGTAAGACAGAGTAACTCACTCAATCTCCTAGCCAAGCTGCTAGGGAAGTGGTTGGCACTTTCTCGCTATAGACACAGAGATGTGATTTCTTGCCCTTCGGCCACACAGCAGCGCATGGTGCTGATAAGATTCAAACCCAGAACCCACTGTTTCTCTACCAGAAGCCCCCCAGTGCTCTGCTGTACGAGTGAAGCCAAGGATGGGGCCTCCGGGAGTGTCTTCTCCCACAAGTGAGTAGCCTCGGCCAGGGAGGTCTCGGGGCAGCCCAGCTGGGAACCAGCCCACTGCCTGGGCAAACACGGGCCGTCTCACGTCTGTGTAATCACTGCCAGGCTAATTTTATCCACTGTGGCTGGCATGCGAGGGCGGACGGATGGACGCGGGGTTGTTTGTTTTCCTAGGGAATCCATGTTTGAAGTCCTAACTATTTTTAAAGCAGGGGCCAAGAACATAACAGCCACAGCCCATGGTGACCACCATACTGTGTCCTTCTGTCACCGTAGGCACCAGCCCAACTTGCTGCCCCTGGCTGGCACCTGAGGTCCACTGTCTCCAGATAGGCCAAAGTTCTCTCTCTATTCTATTTCCCATGGCCAAATCAAGGTTCGAGGGGGTAAGGAGAGAGCTGGTGGTGGATGTGGGGAAGGTACCCAGGGACAGCCACAGGTTCCCAGGAAGACCAAGGACACTGAAGTAAAGAGCCAGTGCTACTGCTTGTTAACTAAGGGGCTATTTCTTTGATCTTACAGGACCTCAGTTTCCTAGTCTATAAAATGGGAATGATTATCCAGAGAAGAAAGGCAGTCACCCAGTGTTGCTGGTGGTCCCTACAATGGAAGCTGTCCCTCCAGAAGGGAAGAATGAAGACGGACTGGAGGGGAGGGTCTTGCTCCCATCATGTGGGAGGAGCTTGGATAGTTCTGACTGGGTCTGGGAGAAAGGACTCCAGGTCTCTGGCGCCTTCTCCTGTTCCCACAGACCCTGACCCCTTGACATTTTCAGTGTGGAACTGAAGCCCCCAATCTTCCTGCCCAGATCGCATGGTTCCCAGCCCAGCGGAGACTTCACACGGCCTCATTAAACTCCCAAATAACAGACTTGCTGTTTGCCTTTGGGGTTTGGGTTTGTCTCGCTCTCTCACTCTCTTTAAAGCGGAACATATTTATTCTCAGAGCGGACACCAGGATTTTTGATTCTTGGATGGTCTGGGGAGTTTTGGGGGATAGCCATGACAGAGGGGCAAACGGAACTTGGACAGCGAGGGCAGTGGGGGCTTTAGGAAGTCCCCTTTCTATTCCTTGGCTCATGCCTTCATGGCTCCAGGAGACCCCAGCACCCCTCACTGCCTCCAAAGTTTTTTTCCCCCAAAGTGCCTCTCTCTGCCTCAGTCGCTCCTGCCTCAACTGGCTACAGAGTTACTGTAATCACCCCATCCCCCACCTCTCCTGCTACAGGACCCATGTTCTCCACATGACCTCATCTTGGCCTCCCGCAACCTGTGGGTGGGGCTTGGGGGTGGGAAGTGGGAGGAGGAAGGAGGGAGAGGGCTGCGGGTTGATAAAGCCAGAGGGGTGGCTGTGTCCCAGGTGGCTCTTACCCAAGAGGAGTCAACAGGACCAGTGGTCCTGAAAGCAGCGCTTCACCCGCTACTTTAAGAGAGCCATGGGGCTTGAGGCACAGAGCAGAGAGAGATGGGACCTGGGTCCGTTGCTTTCTCCGAGCCTCACTGGGCCCATACTTCAGGCTCAGAGGTTCTAAGTCACAGTCAACCCTCATAGTAAAGAAAGAACAATTCAGAAATTCTCCCCAAGAGCTGAGGTCTGCATGTAAGAACCTGCTTGGGTGTTGAATTCTGAGCACCAAGGACAGGTGGCTTACATACAAGAGCTGCCACTTGAACACTCCAGGGGGCCAGGCTCTGTGCCAAACTCAGCTGGGATTTTCTTACTTAGCTCTTCCAGTGAGCTGTTGGAGCAGGTCCAGTGGGCAGAACAGTTGTCCAAGGGGAGGCTCAGAGAGGTTAAGTAACAGCCCAAGGTCACACAGCAAGCAAAAGGCAGAGCACGGGTGGGAAAGGCATAAGATGCTCTGGCTTCTTTCTGGACATGTCAGCTTCGTGTGCAGGCATGTGCCACTCTGTGCAAGTGTAAATTCGTAGGGCAGGTCATCCCCTAAGAGCATACTGTGTGTGTGAGGGGTGTCATTGAGTCCTATGAGGGAGTGCTATTGCATGCTCTGTGTGTGTGTGTGTGTGTGTGTATATATATATACTGTATGTGTATATCAGTGTATATTGTGTGTGTGTATCAGTGTATACTGTGTGTGTCAGTATATATTGTGTGTATGTGTGTATGTGTCAGTGTATATTATGTGTATCAGTGTATATTTTGTGCATGTACATCAGTGTATACTGTGTGTGTGTGTCAGTGAATACTGTGTGTGTGTATGTGTGTTTATCAGTGTATACTATGTGTATATGTGTCTGTCAGTGTATACTGTGTGCAGGGGTGCACCATCAGGTTCTAATTTATGGAATAATCCTTGGGCACCCTGGGTGTGGCAGTCACATGAGACTTCACCTCATAGCCCCACCACAGAGAAACCTTACAGAGGCTGCCTGTCCCAACCACAAATCCCTTAATGGGTTGGGAGCTCTCCTAGGTCTGTGGGGTACCCAGGCCTTTCCCAGGCCATCCCATGGCTGAGGCCCCACCAGTCCCTCCCTGCCCCCACCCCGCAGCATCCCGTGCTGCCACCCCACTCACGTCAATGTCCTTGATATTGTGCATTAGCTGATACGCGATGTCCTTGCAGCCCTGGCTCAGAGCCTCGGGTGGCATCTCGTTATCCGAGTACCAGTCCCGATCAGCCGAGTGCGCATAGGCTGCACTGGGTGTGGCGTGGTTCACCCGAGTGGTGGTCACGATGCCCACGGACTTCCCTGGAGTGTGGGACAGGAAAGATTAACACCCCCTTGTAGATAAGGAAGTCCCTGCAGACTTAGCTCTCCTTCCCTGCCATAGAAAGTCTCCCATCAATCAGTTCCTCTGGACGCCTGGGCCTCAGTTTCCCTAGTTTACGGGAAGACAGATGGACAGATGCAGCTGAACCCCTTTCCTTGTACCTGGGGTGGGCTAGGGTCCTCTCCTCCTTCCATGACTTGTGGAGCCTATGCCTATAGGACACCCTAGGTGGCCCCAAAGGGACGTCAGACGGGGAGAAAGGCTCTGTCAACCTGCCTTCAATGTCTCTGAGGCAAAAGGAGGGAGTGTTGGGAATTGGTTCTAATGCTTTTATTAACCGGCTCACCCAAAATCAGGAATCTGTGTCTCCAGGTGTTGGAGGTCCTTGTCCCCAGTTGGTTTTTGATCTATCAATAAAGAGCTAACAGCCGATGGCTGGGCAGGTAAACTGAGGCGGGACTTGGGGATTTTTGAGGGCTTGGGACTGGGAGAGAGGAAGAGGAGAATCACCATGTCTCAGAGGATCAGACTGAGAGCTGCAGAAGGAAAATCATCCGAAATGTAGGTGGTAAGGGAAAGCGGGCCCTATGGGCGGGGCCGCCCAGAAGGTAACAGGGCAGCAAACATAAAACATAGATTTAGAAGGTGTAGAGCCAGGAACACTGGAGGGAAGTGTGTGCTAGCTGCGGGGAGGGTTAGAACTGCCCAGCCTTTGAGTTAGTCAAGGCATATTTAAAATTAACTGGTGTGTGTGTGTGTGTGTGTGGTTTTTTACTCTCGAATCTAGATAGCTCTTGGGCAGGTACACACATGCAATCTGTTGGGAGCACGGAGTGGTTAACTAATTACGCCTCTAAAGGAGCACCACTCTGAATTCTGCAGACTGGCCCTGGCTTTGTCCTTTGACCTTCTCTCAAAACAGCGATGGGCTTCGTGTCATGCACTCTGTAGTGAAGCGCACAGACCCAGGATACAGACTCCTTAGTTAGGAAGGAGTCCCCTGGCTCCTCCTCAGCCTGATTCCGCCCAGCCATGCATGAATGAGGAGATTGCAATCCAGACAGTCACAGAATGTGCCTGCGATGGCTCACCAGCATCCTTGGCCCAGCGTAGGATGGACGTGACTTCATTCCCCTGAGTGGTGTTGCACCGTGTGCGCTCAGTGGCCGCACTCACTCCCACGGTACCCTCGTTGGCCTTCACACCACACAAGTAGGCAGTGGCAGTGCCCGCGCTGTCGGGGACCTGAGCGTTGGTGTTGTACGTCTGCAATGGACCGAGGGTCGGGGGGTGAGTGCCCACCGTGGCGATCCCACCTCCATTTTCATCAAGGGAGCAGGGTCTGAGGGACACTGCTGTCCATGGAGGGCCCCCAGAACCACAAGGTCACCTGACTGAACTGCCTGCTTCCTACGCCCTGACAAAACTCAAGGTTTCTCTCTAAGTATCGGAACTATGGAACCAGCAAGGGTGGGCTGAGCAGAGGGAGAAGAAGAAATGTATGTCCCTGAGGGAAAGGGATACTGGGAGGGGAGGTGGACCTGAGAGTCCAGCCTGGCTTCTCTGCTGTCCTTGCAAATGGTCATCACTATGGCCAGATTTCCTAGGGAAATCCCACAGGGAAGACCTACCTCCCTGGCCCCATGAACCCAAGAGCTCGCCAGAGGTCCAGAAACTATAGTCTGCCCCTCAGAAGAAGCTAGAACTTGACTCTGGGTGGCTAGGAGGTATGGTGCTTGTTATACACACACACACACACACACACACACACACACACACACACACACACCGGAAACCTCCCCTCAACAACCACAACACACAGGGTATTAAATGATGCATACTGGTAATCTAACCCAGGAGGTGAGGACTGGGCTGACTCTGTTTACACGAAACACAAAAGCAGGCACAAGGAATCAATGGTGTAGGGGTCAGGTCGGTGGCTGCTGTCAGTGGAGGAAGAGACAAGGACAAGACACAGCTCAGGGGATAGCCGGTCCATGTTCAGTGACAATAGCCAGGTGCTGGTTACACAGACACCAGCAGCTTGGGAAAGATTCACGCTATACTATGCGCACTCGTTCCTGGGTATGTTATACACACGAGAGGGTCTACATTGGTAAAGTAAAAGCTTCAGAAACCTTGAGATTGGCTCCTGGTTTCACGGTGGGACCATGGGACCCAGAGGTCTGATGGCCTTGCAGTTCACCAGGTCGAGAGTGGACCCAGGATAGGGCTCACCTTAGAGAGGGCCACAAAGGGGAACTTGTCCATCTCCAGCCGGGTCTCCTCGCCTGTGTTGTGGTGTAGTTGGCCCTTAAGGATTCGGGCAGCCGTCACTGTGGAGACACCCATACCTGTGGAGGGGGGTGGTGGACAGAGAACTTAGGTTCTCAGGCCCTTCAGTCAGCTTTCCCAGGCTCCCAGAGCTCTTCCCTTCAGTGCTAAGACAGGCAAGGTTAGTGGGCAGCAGACAGAAGGACATGATATGTCACTGGATGGTCTCTCTGTCTTTTCATATTCTCAGGGTGACACGTTGGTCCCTTTCTCCTAATCTATGTCTCAGAGCCCTCTGCCACAAGTTCCTTTCACCTGATACCAGGAATCACATTTTCTAGCCACCCATTGCCTCAGGCTCCAAAGCCCCTCCCCTCCCCCATCTCAAGGCCCCCAGCTCCCCCATCCCCAGCCTCACTGCCCTCAGTCCCTTCATCCCCAGTTTCACTGCCCCCCCGAGCCCCACCATCTCCCAGGAACATGATGACATTCTTGGCCACGTTGGTGTTGAGCTTTTGGAGTTTCAGGGCATTTTTCAAGGTCTCCTGGGCTTGCTGTCTCCAGTAACTGGGGTCTTTCTCTTTCTCTGCAGAGACAGGTGGTTATTTGGCAAGGTGGGGAATGGGCTACCCGTCCCCAGAATTATAGACACCCCGGTAGTTCATTGCAGGGGCTGAGATGTGCTAAACATGGAGGGCGGAGTGAAGGCTTGTGAACAGGTTCCAGGCAAACCCCGTAAGCCAGCCTGAGGACGCTGGCATCTTCATGCGTCGCAACACGAGGAAACCAAAGACCAGAGACACCAAGTGACTCTGTCCAAGACACAAAGCAGGAACAGACTCAGACTTTGGCAGAGCTGGACTTCCCGGCAAAAATCCACCCTTGCCCTTCACCAGCGGTGAGCAGCCATTGGCAGCCAGCAGGTAGCAGGGAAATCTTTAACCTCTTCGCAGAAGTCCCTAGAGGTATCCAGTTATATCAATGATAAACTCCGCCTGGCTTGTTCATTACAGCCGGTTCAGCAGGCTAGGGGCTTCCTGGTGAGAACCCTGTGGGCAGAGCTGGAAAGCAAGCCTAGCTCTTGGCTGAATGAATGCATTACACAAAGCGCCCTTGATGGGGTATCTGGGAAGGCATGGGCTGAGGCTCCATCACCACCTCTCTCTCTAATGGACACTGCCCTCACTCAGGCCAGCACCTTAGAGTAAAATAAGACCTAGAGTTCCTCCTCTACTTCCTTCCCTTTCCCTGTCTCTGTCTCACATAGTAATCAATCCACAGCCTTGGTACCCTGGGCAAATCACTTCCCCGAGCCTCAGTTTCCTCACCTGTCAAATGGGTCTTTTTGAGGACTACACTAATTCTGGAAGTGACCAGATTTGCAGAGAGGTCCAAAGATGCCCTTTCACCTTTTTCCATCCCTGTATTCCAAGGAGATCTCTAGGGTTCTATCTCTGGAGCTGGCGAAGTGTCGCCACTGTTTTACAAGGCTTCCTCTCTGTGGTTCCCTGGCCGCAATAGACCTGCCCACAGAACTGGAAGCCCAAGGTTGAAGGCTCCCTATGCTGCCTCCTTCAAAGACCCTTCTCTTCAGCCAGGGTGAGGTAGAGACAGAGGTCAGAAGAGGTGAAGGGTCCCGTCCAAGGCCACAATGTATGCCAGCGGGCTGGAGATATGGTCACATGCTCCAGCTTGTTCAGATCTACACTTGTTCCTCAGGACAAGGTCTGAGAGGCCTCTCAGTCCAAGCATGGACGCCAGCCTGTGTGCCAAGAGTTCTGAACACATGAAGCTTCTGCGGCTTCTCAGCCATCTTGGATGAGGGGCAGAGCTTCCTTCCAGCAGGAAGGGAAGTGAGAAAAAATGAGCAGCTAAGAAAAGCTGAGGATATTCAAATCACCAGGCAATGACCACTACAGATACCCTAGGCAGGGGGACCACACTCCACCTCAAGTCTGGGGCCCGCCAGGCCTCCAGCCCTCCTCTCACGTATCCTGCATCCCAAACACCTGCCTGCTGTCCTCACCCCTAAGCTCCAGGTCCCCCCCTTTTTAGAAGTATCTTCTGGAACTCCCAGTTTCAGACCTCTGGTATAGCCTGTGCCCCCAGAGGAAGCTGGAGGCCTGGGCCTTGCTGTCCACCTCTGTCCACTGGGTAAGTTCTTTGTTCTAGTTTCTAGGTAAATGGAAGGAGGAGATAATGACGGAGGGTCAAAAGGCTTTAACAGATAGACCCACTTGGGTTTTGAGACGGAGTCTCTGATTGGACCTGGAGCTCACTGACTTGGCCATGCTGAACAAATCCTTACCAACTGAGCCCTCGTCTCCCCAGCCCCTGGGTCAATGGTTTAAATCACTGGTTCTGTAAACCTGGCTGGATCTAACCTCTCCCTTGCACACACCAGAATGCCCTGGGTCACAGAGCATTTGCTTGAGTGCCACTTGGGGGTTGAAGAACTTCAGCCCATCCTAACCACATGCCCATTACCCCCAGCAGTCAAGCAGACACCGGGCCTGACTGACGCCAGTCTGTCCCATGTCCATGATCTTTCTCAATACTGGCTCTGCTGCCATTCTAACTGGTCTCTGCTAGAGAATCTGATGAAGATCCGGAGTCTGTTCCTAAGAAGGGCTGAGTCAGTACCAAACCGACCTCCTTATCTGACAATATTAAGCAATAATGGTTTGGACGACTAAATACCAGAAGACCATTATCTCAGGGGAAAAACGGCAGGGACCAATGCCCAGGATGTGACATTATGTCCTAAGGTACTGATTAGTACCTACATCACGAATCCACTCCCATGGTTCCAGAACATACTGCATGACGCCTGGCATCAGGATGGGGTTGTTGGGAAAGGCACTGAGAAGCTGGCCTGTCCTGTGCCTAGGAATGTCCTTCTGATCTGAGTGGTAACTTCACAAATACAAGTATGTATATGTGTGTGTGAATACATATATAGTCTAGAATTAGTGACCTGAGGCATAGAAAGGGTTGAACACAGTAAAACATTGTAGAGATGCTTCTGTGGGTAAGACAAAGAAATTCCCCATAGAAACATGGACCAGCAATTAAGAATGTGTGTTGTGCCGGGCGGTGGTGGCACGCACCTTTAATCTCAGCACTTGGGAGGCAGAGGCAGGCAGATTTCTGAGTTCGAGGCCAGCCTGGTCTACAGAGTGAGTTCCAGGACAGCCAGGACTACACAGAGAAACCCTGTCTTGAAAAGACCAGGAAAAAAAAATGCGTGTTGCTCTTACAGAGGACCAGAGCTAGGTTCCCAGCACCTATGTGGAGTGTCTTACAACAGCCTTTAACTCCAGCTCCAGGGGATCTGGCACACACATGCACACACACAAGCATGCATATACACTCACTCGTGCATTTAACTCTTCCCACTGAAGTCCAGTTCGAAAGCAACCAAAGGGATCTTGCTTTGAGCATCTGGCTTCCAACTCTCCAATACTTTGGATGAGTCCATGACCTTGAACCCAGACCACACTCTCACCGACCTTGCCCACCCTCTCCTTCCACCTGAGTCTCGAATCCCTACCTGGCACAAAAGAGTTGGTAAGGCAAGTGCCGATGGCCAGTACTAAAAATGGTGAAATCATGGTGTACCCCGAGATCCGTCCCTCACTGGAGCCCAGATGGGTGGAAGAGAGGGGTAGGCAGTGTCAGCTGTTAATTGAAGTTCCGATCCTAGAAGTTAGAAAAGAAGAAAACAGGTGTATGAGTGCAGCCCTGGGGCAGTTTCTTCTTTCCCACCTTTGTTCCTTGATTCTTTCGGCAAGAACTTGTTGAGTACCAAAAAGCCGTTGCTGGGCCACCGCCCTGGGAAGAAAACCACGCACATAGTTGTGCAAGCATAAATGCATCTGTACTGCAAACAGATACCACCCCGCTTGCTGGGTGCCCGACCTGCCCTGAGACAGGCTTCTCATGCTATACTTTTGATAGAGGTCAGAGTTGGGGTCTCTCGGAGGGCTGTGGTCCAGCCAGGCCTAGGCCCAGCCCAGAATCTCTTGTAATTCTGAAAGCTCTCAGGGGATGCTCTGCCTGCTGCTCGCTCATAGATGACACATCAAGAAATAAAGCCTACAACTAAGTCCACAGCCTTCTGACCCACCCCGTGCCTCACAAGGCAGGGATAAAAGAGCCCGAGTTTCTTCACAAGGATATTTGTACCCAGGACACCAATATTAGCCCCATTCTCTTCAATAACTTGCCAGGTTTTGGTAAGCGATTATAAGCAGATTATGTAGCCCAGACTGGCTGAGGATAATCTTGAACACCTGATCCTCCTGCCCATGTCCTCCCCATGCTGGGATCACAGGGCAATGCCTCAGCAGCTGACTTCTTTTTTTTTTTTTTAAGATTTATTTATTTATTATATATGAATACACTGTAGCTGTCTTCAGACATACCAGAAGAGGGCATCAGATCTCATTACAGATGGTTGTGAGCCACCATGTGGTTGCTGGGATTTGAACTCAGGACCTCTGGAAGTGCAGTCAGTGCTCTTAACCACTGAGCCATCTCTCCAGCCCAGCAGCTGACTTCTTTTGATTTTTTTTTTAAATGATCTTCACTTCATTTTCCCAAAATTATTTCCATTTTGTTTGCTTGTTTTTATTCTGTTTGTTTGGGTTTTTTGTTGTTGTTGTTTTGGTCAATGCTGGGATCAAACCTCACACAAGCTGGACAACTTTGGCTCAGACTCCTTGATCTGAGCTTGCATCCCTAATGACTAACATGCTAAGCCATCTTCCCGTGGGGCTCCTTGGCCAAGTGTGCATCTTCTACGATGGCGTATCTGCTGAGACATTCTACCTTGAGCTAGGAGATAGCTTAGCCATTAAAAGCACTTGCTAAACTTGATGCCTGGAACTTACCAGAAGAAGGGAACTGACTTTGAAAGTGGTCCCCTGGGACTGTGGGTCCCCTGTGACTCAGAGGGTAAAGGCACCTGGCTCAAGCCTGATGAAGTGGTTCAATTCCCTGAACAGCACCCACAAGGTAGAAGGAGGGAACTAATTCTCACATTGTTCCCTGACCTTCCTAAATGCACCGTGGCTCTCCTGAACTCATACACACAACACACAACAACAACAACAACAACACATCTGAAGAATGCTTTGCTCCCCTACCTCCGTGCTGGGGATCAAACCCAGGGCCTTCCTACAGCTCAGCTATATTCCCTCAGCCTACTTGAAATATATTTTTAAAAGAAGGAATCTTTTTTTTAAAGGACTGAAGGAAACAGAGCAAACATTAATTGGTGGTTTGCTCTGGGTGGCAAGACCAGGAATAATTATTTCCTCTTATAAATTTATTTCCAAGTTGCCTAAAATCAGTGTATGAACAGCTTAAGCCTGTTTTTAACCAGGCTCATGTTGTCGAAATCACCTGGGACAGGGCCACAGGCAGCTAGCTTCAGGATGCCCAAACGTCTGGGTAGGATGTTACAGAAGGAGATGTGATTTTCAATATCAAGGGTTTCGTTAGAAATAATGTCACCAGGACAATACAAGCCAGGACGTGATTACCCCATTTGTTATGGGAAACAGAAATTACAGAAGTTCCACTGTGAGTAAGGACAGAGAAGCCACCAATTTGCCACCAGAATAAGGAACTTTAAAGGTAGGGCTCTGGTGAAGGAAGGGTGGGGAGGGACTAGGAAGAAATGTCTTCCATCTAGTGTCTAACTGCACTGAACTCTGAGGTTTATTTCAGGTGATTGCTAAAGTTAAAAGCAATTGTTTTTTTTTTTCTGCCCAGGGAGGTAGCTCAGTAGGTAAAAGCACTTGCTGCCAAGATTGATGTTGCCCCCGGGTTCGATCCCTAGGGCCCACATAGTGGAAGGAGAGAACCCGACTCCTGAGTGGAAGGAGAGAACTCGACTCTTGAAAATTGTTCTTTGACCTCCAGACAGGTAAAATGGCACATAATCCACGGTCCTCTCCCAGCCCCACCCCCACCCCCAAGCACACATAAGCACACACAGTGAAAACATTGTGTGCATACCATATGTGTGTGTTCATACACACGTATACAGACTGTTATCTACAGAGGGCAGAGGTCGATGCTGACTGAGCGTGCCTATTGCTGTTTATAATGGTTTCCCGGAGGCGTCTCTCAACTGAAAGTGGTATTAGACTGTCTGGGTGGCAAGCTCCAGGAATCCTCCTGTCTCCACACTCTCCACCAATGCTAGGGCTATAAGCATGCACCACCACGTCTGGCTTTTCACGTTCCCCACTGGATGCTAGGTACCCAAGCTTCTGTCTCACTTGTTCTACAGCATGAGCTTTGCCCACTGAGGAAAAAAATTCTAATCTTTTGTTTTTGTTTTTTTTTTGAGACAGTTTCTTCCTGTAGCCCTGGCTGTCCTGGAACCCACTCTGTAGACCAGGCTGGCCTCGAACTCAGATATCCGCCTGCCTCTGCCTCCCAAGCACTGAGATCAAAGGTGTGCGCCACCACCACCCCATTGTCTACATTTTTTATTCTACTTTATAGAATAAAAAATAGTTTAATAGGAGACGAATAATGTCAAATAGTTTCATAGCAAATCCTAACATCAGAAAGTCATGAAGTTGCCGGGTGGTGGTGGCTCACGCCTTTAATCCCAGCACTTGGGAGGCAGAGGCAGGCAGATTTCTGAGTTTGAGAGTTCGAGGCTAGCCTGGTCTACATAGTGAGTTCTAGGACAGCCAGGGCTACACAGAGAAACCCTGTCTCGAAAAACCAAACTAAAAAAAAAAGAAAGTCATGAAGTTGATTGACACAAACTATGACTGCATTATAATATTATTCACAGTAAATAGGTATAAAATATAAAGTCATCTCTTTCAGATGACCTTTAACACATTTCCTGCAACTTCACACTGCTTCAATGGTTGGTACTCACTTTCCTGTTCTCAAGATAACTCCTTCCTGGTCCATCCCAGCCACTACACTAGAAACCTCCGCACCAGCGCTTCTCAACCTTCCTAACGCTGAGACCCCTCACTACAGTTCCTCATGCTGTGATGACCCCAACCATAAAATTATTTGTTGCTACTTCATAACTGTAAGTATCTACTGTTATGAATGTAATATAAGTCTCTGATATGCAGGATGTCTGACACATGATCCCCAAAGGGGCCCAGGCCCACAGGTTGAGAACCAATGGACTAAGGTTTCCCCTCGCTTATCTGTGCTCCTATGGGGGACTGGGGTGGTCATTCACTATCAGAAGAGTGTCCCCAGATACAACTTTGGGCACATGGCATCACCCACCACAGCTGAGCACCATCCAGCTGCCATGGGGCCCTTTTGACTCCACGGCGGCCTTTGCTTCCTGTCTCCATCCCAGCACACACTGTTGAGAACTTATGGTTGACAGTGCCTCAAATGCTCCTCCCAACGTGTGGCTGAGCCAGGAGAGCTGGAGCCATGGGCATACATGGACACCAATGGCACAGCCATGCAGGTTGCCGTGTCCCTTAAGCAGATGCCCTCATCCCTTTGTTTGGGGTACTAGGTACAGTGAGAGCGGAATAAGACAGGACAATGGTGTCAATGGGACTTCTGAGGTGCAGGAGCCGTCTGTTTACTGTTGAGGCGCTAGCTCTGCCTGTGGGCTTAGCTTAAAAATGGAACGGTCTCTCGCTTTACAGTATCGGGAATTCTCTGCATGTGGGTTATTGTCTCTGAGATCAGAGCTGCTGTCAACCTGAGACTGTCCACTATGGGATTGCCACTGGGGTTCTTTGCTAATAACTTCTGAAGCAGGGAAAGAGGAAACAACCGTCTCTCACGACAGACGAGAAGACCACGGTGTAGAGAGGAGATATAATTAGCCCGTGCGGACGAACGAGTAGGTGGCAAAGCTGAACCTTGACCACAGAGCTTTTTTGATTCTAGAAATAACGGCAAGATTACTATGGTAACCCCAACCCCTCCATTTCCTCAAGTGTAGAGCAAAGGCTTTGAAGTCTGACACAAGAATAGAGTCCTCCAATGCTGCCATGACTAGGGGAGGCCCGCCTTGCTACCTAAACCTGTACGGTCTCCTTGTAAGCAAGCAGTCTCCACTGCTAAACCCGGCTTCCCTGATTGTCCTCTATCTCCATGTGACCAGCACTGAGATCAAATGAGACCTCAGGAGATAAAGGTACTTGCCACCACACCTGATGACCTGAGTTCAGTACCTGGAACCCACATGGTGAGAGAGAGACATCTGCAAGTTGTCCCCTAATCTCACACACGTGCTGTGACACGTGTGCACCTACGATGTCTCACGTACAAAAAAAATCAATATAAATAAGTTTAGATTAATATAGAGGCTCGAGAGATGGCTTGGTGGTTAAGAGCACACCGGCTGTTCTTGCAGAGGACCTGAGTTCGATTCCCAGCACCCACATGGCAGCTCACAACCATCTGCAACTCTGAGGACACCAGACAAACATGTGATGCACAGGTGAAGCACTCAAACACATAAAATAAAATCTTAATATATACAAAGAAAGTTAGCCAGGCAGTGGTGGCGCACGCCTTTAATCCCAGCACTTGGGAGGCAGAGACAGGTGGATCCCTGAGTTTGAGGCTAGCCTGGTCTACAGAGTAAGTTCCAGGACTCTTGTCTCAGAAAAACCAACCCCTATAAAGAAAGCCATTGGTTAGTTTCCATGCAGTGCTGACTCTCCCGTGAGCTC